AACAAATCTTTGAGTAGAAAATGGCAATTTTGGTTGTCGGAAGACGTATTTGTCGTCAGCAGGCCCCTCGGCAGTTCTGGCCTTAGCACGAAAAAGACGATTTGGTCTTGCCTTCATCTACACATTTTAAGCTGGACAAACCGACCTCAAAACACGCAAATAAAAATCAAGGAAGAAGGTCAAGCGGTGTCCACTTGATACGATTTGGCCTCTAGAATATAGGCATCACAGAAAGATTTGTGTGAAAATGTAAAAGTCATATTTTCACCAGCAAACACGACACTTTTATTGCAGCCGAAAGACCAAGAAATAATTGCCACATTTAAAGTATGCTACTTAAAAAGAAATTTTGCACGGGTGATTGTTCAAACAACAGATAATAATAATGTTGAGCTTACTTCCATTTCGAGTAAAATTGCTTGGTGAAGAGATTCGAAGGTCGATTTCACCAGAAGACGACAGCAGATTCCTCTTGACCAGCTGTCAAAGGCTTTACTGGAACATTCATGCTGACGCTGTTTCCAAAGCGCTGGTGAAAAGGTGCTAAACTTTCGTCCTTCAAATGACGAACATCTTAAGAGTAAGATATTGTCATCACAACCAAATTCAAGCTAACGAGTCGACGACAGACCTTCAAAACTCTTCACCCAACACTTTCACTCGAAATGGAAGTAAGCTCAACAATTGTGAAGCAAGAGATTCCTCAAAACCCAACTTTTTTCGCATGTAATGATATCTTTTCCATTATATTGCTTTTCCCTATAATAGTCCTTTGGTGTTTTATACTTTTTGATTGTCCTTAGCAATAGGATTACGATGAGGAACTTTAAAACGTTATTTGGTATTTGCAATTGGATGCAATCATTTACATGCCTTTATGCCTTCTAATCGCTTAGACTAATACGATGTACTCATACTAGTCTTGGCCTCCACATACTCATAAGTTTAAACGATGATATATACTCGCATGTATGGATATAGACTTATTTTGTTATTTTAGTTACTAGCTATGTATGTATAGTTAGCAGTTAAGATGTAGCCAGACAGCCTTCGTGATTTTCACTTAACGAAAAGCCTTTGAAGGCATGCTTTCCAGTTTTTATCCGAAAAAAGGAGCATGTCTCATGGGCGGCATCAACCGAAATTTCTCCCAACCAAATTTCCCCTTTAAATGAAATATTTTGTCACAAAATTACTTTCATGTCATCTGAAAGCGTATAGAACAAGGATTTGCAGGTAAAGCTCTGCTTTTTGAGTTTTCTTAACTTTATCGTCGAGACTAATGTTGAGATAGACTCCTACGGTTCTGATGAATAAGTTGTAATCGCTTTTTTCTAATTACTGCTGCTGGCCAGGCATGATTTTAAATCGGTTGCCTACGATGCATTAAACAGACGTTAAGAATAAGAGTTTTCGAAAAATATTATTCATTTGCATCGTCGAACGGCCATCTATTTCGTGTCAAAGGGTGCCATACAGATCATTTGCTCTCCTATTCACAATCTGTACGATACCCCATAAAGTTATGTACTATTGCACAATCTTGTTATACTCACTTCCAATTTGATTTGAAATTAGAACGCACCAGAAGATGAAAATGAATTACTCTTGGAAAGCAGTCATTTAATTTTACTGAAACACTTAAGTTGACGCTGGGTCAAAGACAAATTCCTTCCAATCTGATGCGAAAGGGCTACGTTTTCGTCCCTCAAATGATGGATATCATCAGATAAAAATATAATTCCAAAAGTTAATTCAAAATAATAAGTCGTATACATAATCTGATTCTGTGCATTTTCTGAGTTTTCTTATCGGCTGGCTTCATATGGCAACACAGCAATTTGTGCGCGTATGTGCGATTATGTATACGCAAAAATAGGAAAACAGCAGTGATGCTTGCGAGTAATTAAGTAGCATTGCTTAACATTTGCTAGCATACCTTGTATTTTGTTGGAAAAGGCGGGTGAAAAGGATTCATAAATCAGCCTTTTTAGATACCGGAAGAAGGTTGCCTTGGACTCACGCCTGTTGGATTGTGGAAAAAAGACCGGGGCTCGTCGTTCTGCGAACCCGATGACTCCATGCGGAGCTTTCGTCCGTCATGTGGCGGAAATTCTCAGAGCCAAAAACCATTATTTATGAGCAATAACCAAAAAATACTAAACCAAGAAAGATGGCCGGCTGAAATTTTGCTTATTTTTTTATTTGAATTTCTTTTATAATCATACTCATCGTGTAAAGGTATGAGTTGTGAAGGCAACAACAGTAAGGCGTTTGCGTCTAGCGGACATAAATGATCAGAATCAAGCTTTTGAAGGGCTAATACAAATCTTAGTTTAGAACAATTATCCGCTGATATTAAGTGTAAATAATTCGTAAATGCCAAGCAATAGGGTGTGAGGAAACCATTTATAGGGGCAGGTTTCTGATGATGTAATCCTGCTAGCTTTCGAAGCAGATAGGCGAATTACTGAGGAAGTGGAACGTCGGGCCGATATAGAAATACCAACGCTTTGCTCGGTCATGTCTTCTTCTACAGCATCCTATGTCACCGTGTGCGGATCAGGTTGTTATAAAGTTTTGTGCTATTGTGGTAGCGTACATAAGAGGTTATCAAAAACACAAAGCTTTGTATGGATTCAGAAATCGGAGGTGGTTGAACATATGATCATTACAGGATGCCAGCTAGATTGGTCGAAAAGCCAACATTTTGCCGATCATGAAGTGGGTTGACCTCGTTGTCACAACTTGGTCTTGTTTTCAGGGAGACCATGTCGAACGCACCTAGTCCGAAGTCGTCTGCCATAGTAGTTGTCATGATTCCCAGCATATTTTCAAACGTTTCGCCGGCATCGCAGTCGGCATCATCAGTCAGTTTTGCCATTCGCCGCACCAAGCTACGAA